AAAAAAAAAAGTTTCTTTACAATTTAATAGGGAGCAATTCATAATTCTGTTACTAAAGAAAACAAAGGTTTTAATTGGAAGCAAATATTATAAGAACAAGAAAGTAGAAAACCTTTCTAAATTATTTGAAAACTGATATTAGTTTGGACGTTGGTATTTTATTGAACAAAAGATATATAAGATAGACAATCATGTTGTAAAAGTCTAAATTTTACTTTTGATAAGTCTCCATCGTTACACCATGACAATTGACAAATTACTCAGTAGTATATCCTAACATTATTGCTGTATCATCATTCGAATTCAAATCCAACATCGATATATAAAATAATCGCAGAGTTTTAATATTCGGTCTTTAATATTTTTTTAGTGGTTCTAGCCTGAAGGACCACATTTGTGTCTCACACATGGCCGTATCGAAACCTAGGAGTGAGTAGTGACTTGAAAGGCTAGACCATTGGCCTAGTCAACTCTTATCCAGTCGTTAATTAATCAATGAACAAGTTGGTCATGAATAGCAAATTAAAAAATTGGGCCCAATTGACAATAATAAAATAATTATTCGTTGAATCTTGGTACTTTGGTCTTTAATTAATCAAATTAAGAAGTTGACATTTAAAAAAAAATTGCAAATAAAAATAAAATTGTAGGCCCATCTCTCTTTTTAGTCTTTGAATGTCTTTAGCTTATGTACCAACATAATAACGTGTAATATAATTTGTTTGTTATCTAATCGCCGTTTATATAAATGACTATACGAATATGTCGGATCCTCTCATAATACAAGTAGATTCAGAGATAGAGAAAGAAAAGAAAAATATCAGAGTATGAACTAAAAACTATTTCCTTCTAAATCGTCTTTCACATTTTCTCTTAAAGTTCTTCAAGAGCATTGACTTGAGATGCAAGAAATAAATCCGGCAATGGAAAACGTTAGTGACGTGGCGAGTGACCGATCGATCGTTAAGGAGAATCCAACGCAGAAACGGATCGGTCTAGTGAAGCGGCTCGCCTTTGTTTCTAACCAGCTCAAGCGCTTGGCATCAGTCTCTAGAGAGAGTGAGCCACTTCGGACGGACCAGTCGAAGTCAACGACCGGTCAAGCCTTGAAAGGGCTCAAGTTCATCAGCATGGCCGATGGTGGCGCTGGTTGGACCGCCGTGGAGAAGCGGTTTGTTAAGATCACGTCCACTAGTGATGGATCACTGCCTCGGTCAAAATTCGGTGATTGCATAGGTAAATATTGCACCAAATTTAATTTTGTAAGCCAACAGTAGTGGTCGAGTGGTAGTTGACTAGTAATAACTTCGTTGCAGTTAGACCATTTGGTTATTGGCTTTGGTCTAGATGTTTAACATGGTGCTGTACCCAACATAGTTATCTCCCTCCTGATTAGTCGAGTTTCGGTCCAGATTATCGGGTTATTAAAAATTAAATGAACTTTGGAAATGATTTGGATCTGATTAAGTAGGAATATTGACATATTTCAGGGATGAATTCAAAGGACTTTGCGTTGGAATTGTTCGACACATTAGCAAGAAGAAGGAATATGACAGGGGATTCGATTGATAAGAAACAATTTAAAGAATTTTTGGGAACAAATAAGCGATCAAAGCTTCGATTCAAGGCTTATGACGTTTTTCGACATGTAAATATTTTTCAATCATTAACCATTTGGTCTTTTGTTACACTTTTCTAGATCTCTAGACAAGTTCTTGTAATGAGAATGTAAAGTTTAAGGGATTTCTCAAATGCAGGATGGATAAAGATGCAAATGGTAGATTAACCGAAGACGAAGTTAGAGAGGTAATAGAAAAAGTGTTTAGACTAATATGGTCTTTGATTATTTCAACTAATTTCTGAAATAATATAGCATCTTCATTGCAACAAACAATCAACAACTTAGTAAGTTTCTTAGAAATATTGAGAAATGTTTGATGAGTGGGAGATTTGTTAAATAAAAAATCTACTATGTCTTTGTTCTGTTTTGCAGATTATCAATCTTAGTTCGTCTGCAAATAATCTGTTAACCATCCAAAAAAAGGCAGATGAATGTGCAGCAATGATAATGGAAGTGCTTGATCCACATAATATTGGATAATATCATGGTAAACTTTCTTGATAATGATTGAAAAACTGATAATTAAGTTTTTCACAATACTGCTTCTGTATATAACTTTTTGAGGTGATTTTAAAACAGATTGAGAGTCTTAAGAGCTTGCCTCTACAAGCAGAAACACAATCTGTAGTCACAAATAATGAAGAAAGAAAGAAGCTAAACGACATGCTAAATGAAAAGCTTAAACCTACACGTGACCCTAACATATTAAAAAGATGGTATTGTGGACTAAGGTTCTTCGTGTTGGATAGTTGGCAAAGAATTTGGGTCATCGCGCTTTGGCTCACGGTTATGGCCATACTCTTCAGACACAAGTATATTCAGTACAAGAACAGAGAAGTTTACGAAGTGTTGGGGCATTGTGTGTGTTTGGCCAAAGGTGCAGCAGAGACGTTAAAGCTGAACATGGCCGTGATTTTGTTACCTGTGTGCAGAAATACCATCACATGGCTTAGAAATAAGACTAAGTTTGGTGTTGTTGTTCCTTTTGATGACAACCTCAACTTTCATAAGGTAAAACCACAATCTTTTTTTTTCCTTAACCAATTATGGTAGTTTAGTGGTTGAGGAATGGTCCTATATATTGCTCAAGGATATGATCAAAACTCTATGTTAGTCAATATAGACTTAA